AGAAATGATAATAAGGAGTGAGGCATTTGCATATTTTTAAAGTGTTTCTCTATTGGCCACTAATGGTGGCAAGTGAAAAAGAAACACTGTAAATATGAGGAAGAAATCAGAGAAAGCTTGGATAAACTTATCGAAATTAATATGCCTAATGGGAGAGCCATCCATTGTCTGTCTGCTCCCAGATGCGATTCCCTGAGAAGAACAAAACCACACTGGTTATAATCCGGCCAATGATCCATGACATGATTGTAATCATGAGAAAACTCAAAATGAAAAATTTCTATTTAAAAAGGGGGAGAGGGAACACTGATCTTCCAAAAATGTCAAATTTATGAAAGACAAAGAAAGACTTTGGAAATGTTCCAGATTAAAGAAGGCCAATGTGGTATAACTAAATGCAATACCTGCTATTAGACACAATCTTGTATTATAGAGAGGAAGTATAGGTTCCTAACTGTAGGATGTTTTAATAAAATTGAAATTTGGATGACATATTTGATAAGATGATTTAAAAAATTAAATTTGCTGAATATATAATTGCTGTGGTTTTATAGAAAAATATTGATATTCTGAGAAGTTACAAACTGGAATATTTAGGGGAAAAGGCCATGATTCATGCAACTCAGCCTCACACACTGGGAAAGTGAGAAACGGAGATTCAAAGAAAAGAAGAGAGAATGATAAGGCCAATGAAATAGTAAGGAACTATTGGAGTATCTATTTATTGGAGTAAAAGATATATAGATATCCCTTGTGTTATTCTTATTCTTGCATTTTTTTCATAATTTTGAAATTATGTACAAATAAAAAGTTTAAACAACAGAAAATGTGGTGCATTTGTTGGCATTTTAAAACAATTTTAAGAAAAAAAGCAGGATAAATGGATTGGCGGAAGATGGTTTTGATGGGTAACTTACCAGAAATACGGAGTGCGTATTTATTTTTAAAATATACTGTGTTTTTTTATACAACTAAAGGGAGCTTTCATTCAAAAGAAATATGTGAATGTGACATTTTTATCTGTATCAAATCTGAGGAAACCCCTTGCTTAGGCAGAGTGTTCTTGGCTAAGCAATCTGGTATCCAAGTCAGCATAAGAAGGAGCAGTAAGAGAAGCTGTCGTAAAGGTAATAAAAGATGAATTTCAATAAGAATTTATTGTGTATTTTAGCAGGTTGTTTTCCTTCATACCTCTGAAGAGCAAGAGACCAGTTAGTCTTAGAATGTCACATAAAAATCACCCTAACAGATGAAAATTGCCTCTAACGCTAGGTGGAAGGGTAATAAAGATAACTAGTAAAATAGTGAACAGGTGGAGTATATCTCCAGTGTAAAATAATAATGCAAACTGGTGAAAACAGACAAATCAACCTCAGACTTCCTTATAAAAACCAGCCCTTTAATTTGTCAGTTTTGTAAATTTAGATGATTTCATCACCTGTTAGGTGACCAAGAACTAACACCGTATTTCTACATTATAAAAAAGTCCTTTCACTTCTAAGCTTTTGGAATGACATTTTAGAATGAAATTCAATATACATAGGGTGTAGATTTTGTAATTTAAACCTCAAAATATAGGCCAAATTGTGAATTTCTTAAATGCAGTATGATTTATTTGTATTTTTCATGCTAAATAGTTAGTGCTCAACACGCATGCATTTTCATTTATTTATTAAATAGTTTTTAGATATTTACTCTTTACAAGTCACTGTGTAAAGTTCTTGGGATGTAATCATAAAAAAAATATATTCCCTAATATGGATAAGCTGAATTTAGTGAGAGAGATGAACAATCTGGTGATTTGTATTTACTGTGGAGGTATTTATTGCAGCAAGCACAGGGTATTTTGCCACAGAAATATAAAGAGGTAGCAAATAAAATACGTTTGGGTAGTCAGGAAATATTTTGATTTTGGAAAATAAATATATAAACCAGGAAGATGAGTAAGAGTTTACCCATTATTAGAGAAAAAAGTAGCCTCAATGTGTGAATATTGTAAGGAGTGAGAAGTGTTTCAGAACCGGCAAAGAGGGTGCACTCAGGTGCAGAGGCAGAGAGAGTGAGTGAACTGGAACCTACAAAGCAGGCGTGGGAGGAGAGGGTTGGAGCTACAGCAGAAAGAGCTTTGGAGCTACAGAGCTGAAACTTTGTAATAGTCAGAAGGTATGCATTTCGCCACAAATATTTATCAATCAACTACTATGTTTCTGTATAGTTTTGAATGTAACAGAAGCAGTCTTTGCCTTTCTGGAGTTTTTGTTCTGAACTTCAGATGAGAGAATATAGCAGTCAAAAAGCAGATAAAGAATCTGACAGTGAAAAATAAAGGGATCAAGTAATTTGCATAATATTGAATAATGAGCATAATGTATCTGTCCATCACTTAGCATCAATTGTCCTCATATCAAAATTGAGTACATTGGATTCTTGCTTCTCCATTCTTGTGATGCTTTACTGAGAAGAATGTATTTCAACTCCATCCAAATGAATGCAAAAGATGTAAAGTCTCCATCTTTTTTAATGGCTAAATAGTATTCCATGTTATACATACACCATAGCTTATTAATCCATTTCTGGATTGGTGAGCACTTAAGCTGTTTCCACAATTTGGCAATTGTAAATTGAGCTACAATAAACAGTCTACTGAATTTGTCCTTATGATAAAATGATTTTTTATTTTCTTCTGTGTAGATATATTTGTAAGAGCAGAAGATACATGTACTTCTCATTCCCAAGAAGCACTCTGCTCTCAAACCAATGGGTAAGATTTTATACTAAAAAATTGGTGTCACTTTTGCCTTGCTCCATAAAGAAAGCAAGCAACTATGTGTGTAGTTTGTTCTAGTTTACCTTTTGTTTTAAAAACCAAGACCTGCTATTTCTGAGATAGGAGCCAGGTCTAGAAATAGATTCTTTGTTCTCGGATTTGGAGACCCAAATTGGTGCTTTTGGAGGAGGACAGAGGAAATGTGGAGAGAAGATAAAAAACTTGTTCCTACCATACTCCCTACTCCCTTCCTCAGTCATAACTTTCCAATATGCTGACCTTTATTAGTGACGTCAAATGTCACAAAGAGCTGTGAATGATAGAGGATTTTATTATGGGACAATTGTCTAACTTTTTGTCTATAGTTTTCTTAATCTTTAACTCATGCTTACTGATCTGTTTTCATTTAATGGAAGGGTTCATTTGGGGGGGGTTCTATTTAAAAACTTATTTACATAAATCTTATTTTTCTTGTTTATATCTATTATCTATGAGAAGTATTATATGGCAAGGAGTAATCATAGCCCAGGGATTAAAGGCATGGCTGTGTGTGCTCAAATACTAGACCTCTTATCAACTAGATATATCTTCTTGGTCAAGTTATGTAGATTTTTGTATTAATTCATAAAATAAAAATAGGGTACATTATATTCATTTGCAAGTTAACATATATGAACATAAATAAGTTAACATATATGAAACACACAGAAGAATGATGGGCACATAATACAGAAATGCCAGGTTACTTAAACAAACAAGATTATGAATATAATATTACTGATGAATCAACAATTTTTGAAGTATAACTTTTTTATAGATTCTTGAAGTCCAGACTTTTCACATTTTTTCCAAGTAGCTTCATAATCTGATTATATCCAATACATCAAAAAAGTTTTCTATTTCTTGTCAAAGTAAGACTTTCATTCTAGTGATCTTGAGCTTCCTGTTTCCTGTATATATTAACTATAAAATAATAACGAACTTATATGTAGGGATTTAGAGCTTACAAATTCCTTTTTTATATACTCTGCTTTTGATCCCACACTATCCCTTTGAGATAGGAAGTTTTATACTCTTTTTTTTCAATCGGAAAACAAAGTTTTTGAGAGATCAGAAGACTTGTTCAATAATGCATTTCAAGTAAAGCATTCTGAAAACAACTAGGATTTTTTTCTATTTGTTATCCATATCTTAGCTTTCTTTAAATTCCAATTACCAGAACTCTCCACTCAATATTACCTATACATACACCTTAATTTGAAAGTTATAATTCAAAATCTCATCCTTTAAATACTCTATGACTATTACATTTTAATTCATTTATGTTTTTGTTTCTGTCTGTATAATTATCACTATACATTTTAGCTTTTTAATTTCAATAAAATGAATTAATAACATTAAATAGTACATAAAAATAATAAAGTTACAGAAAAATTAATATTTATCTTATTTGGTTTTATTTATCCTTTTGTTTCATGTTATATGTTTAATATATAAAAGCATTTATATTTAAGATTTAAAGTATAAAAGGAGCAATATTCTGTTATATCTCTCTCTAATACAAACATTGTTATTAATTTGGCATCTGCCTACATTATCTTTGAAATTTATGAGTAATATTATAATATCATAGTATATACCCACAAACATGTTTTTATATATCCAAGCACACATATGTATTTTAGACATACATATATAAATATTCATAAGATGAGACAAATACTATTAATCCCAATTTTCAGATGAGCAAAATAAAAAAGAAATTACATAACTTCTTTTATGACAACCTGAATTAGTGGCAGAGCTTGAATTCAATTCCAGAAAGTCTGGCATGAGGTCCTAAATTCTTAAACCCAATTTCATTTTTCCTTCTCACTAGAGTGCCTTACAGAGTACTATATGGCTCTACAGTTGGGAGCTTTCTCATCTGCACACATCAGAAATCTCTATTCAAAAGCATCGTATTCAGTATTATAAATTTATTATAGTTAGTTTACATACCTTGTCAGCAAATTAGTATATCAATTGTTCCCAAATGTTGCATGCTTTCCCTCATATGTGAGAACTAAAAGAATTGGTCTCACCTGATTAGTGAATAGATGAGAGGTTCCCAGAGGCTAAGGAAGGGGAGGAGGAGGCATAAAGAGGGTCAGTTAATGGGTACCAAAACACATAGATAGAAGGAATAAAATCTAATTTTTGGTAACATAATAGGGTTTTGTTATATAGTTTTAATAACACTATAGTTAACAATAATTGTGTATTTCATCCTTGCACAGGGGCCATACTAATCTTCTCTGTATCGTTCCAATTTTAGTATATGTGCTGCCAAAGCAAGCACTAATTGTGTATTTCAAAATAACTTGAAGAGTATATCTGGAATGTTCCTAGAGAAAAGGAATGATCAAAGCTTGAGGTTATGGATCTTCCAATTACCCAGATTTGATCATTACACATTATACACTTGTATCTATATATCACATGAACTCTATCAATAAGTATAATCATGTATCTCCCAAAATGAAAAATAGAAATTAAACACTAAATAAGCCTGCTTTTATAGATTTGATTGTGTGCATATAAGGGTGCACATATGTGTGTATCTTAGAAAAGAGGAAGAGATGATCATATGGCCCTGTCCTCTAAATTTGGCTGTATTGGTTCACATTTCCAGAAGCTGTGTATAGACAGCATTAGGAATAGTCACGTTCCATTACTGTGATGGAGAAATAAATTAAAACTGCAAAATACTGTTTACTTTTTAAATATTCTTCAGCTTTTAATGCTATAGAGAGAGATTCCCATTAAGCTAAGCTATGAGTTGAAAATAGACCCCTCTTAGTGGCTAATGTTTACAAATAACATAATTATCTCCAATACATAACAAGGAATTGGGAATTGGTAGCAATGTTGACTTTCCAGATATGATAAGAACTTGAGTTGCATAGAAATAAAATGCAATTTCTGTAGTTGTACCATGTATTATTTATGAATTACTATTTTGAGACTATTTTTTGTCACAAATGAGAGTAGCAAAATATTAAAGCTAAGAAAGCACGAACACTTGGTTGAAAGTTATTGAGAACTTTGGATCAAAATTATCATTGCCTTAATATAGTATTTGATTTTTAAAATATGAAAATATTAAGGGAGTACAATTGTTGTAGGCTGCATGGATCCCTTTTATAATGCCTGCATCCTGACTACAGATGTGTCCATACCTAAATCATGTTCACTGTACCCTTTAGGGAGGTTTTTGCCTCTCTCTGCCTTCTACCTCCACCCTGGTTGATTCCTATGAGTTTTACTTTCCTCTGTGCCCATGTGTGCTCATCAGTTAGTTGCAATTTAATTATGAGTGCATGTAGTGTTTGCTTTCCTATCTTGAGATATGTCACTTAGGAGAGTGATCTCTAGTTCCATCTAGATTGTTGTAAAAGGTATTAATTCATATTTTTTATGGCTGAGGGCTACCCTATGGTATAAATAGATATAACACATTTTGTTAATATGCTCATGAATACATGGGCACTGGTGTTGCTTTCACATCTTTGCAATTGTGAACTGTGCTTCAAAAACATTCAAGTGCAGGTGTCTATTTGATGAAAAGTCTTCTTTTCTTTTGGGCAGATACGCAATAGTGAGATTGCTGGATTGAATGATAGGTCTACTTTTAGCTTGGAATCACCATGCTTTTTCCATAGAGTTGTAATAATTTGCAGTCCCACCAACTATGTATCAGCATTCCTTTCTCTCTACATCCAAGCCAAGAGATAGGTAGAGTCAACATTCTTCAAATTCCCATACTACACAAAGTGAATTACAAGTTGAGGGCAATCCCAGAAAACAGTCCAAATAGGCAAAGCAATCTAAAGCAAAAAGAACAAATCTGGAGTCATCACATTACCAGACTTCAAACTACACTCCAAGGCTATAGTAACCAGACCAGTGTGACATTGGCCCCAAAGCAGAGTTATAGACCAATGAAACAGAATAGATAGCCCAGATACAATACCACTTACCTACAGCCAATATATCTTTGACAAGACAGAGAATAATGAACACTAGGGAAAAGAAGTCCTATTTTGGTGCTGGAAAAATTAAATAGCTACAAGTAGAAGAATGAAACAGGATGCCATCTTACACTACTCACAAAAATTAATCAGGTTAGATAAAAAGATTTAAATCTAAGGCATAAAACCATAAGAACTCTAGAGGAAATATTAAGAAAAACTTTTCCAGATATTGATCCAGGCAAAGAATTTGTGACTTACACCTCAATGTCAGTTAAGAAACCAACCAAAATTAATGAATAGAATTTGACTAAACAAAAATGTATCTGCAAAACTGAGAAAAAACAACATATAGAGCAAATAGACAATCTACAGACTAGGAGAAAATATTCACAAACTATACATCCAACATGCAGAATTTACAAAGAAGGCAAGAAAATCAGTAAGAAGAAAATAAGCCACTCCATTAAAAAGCCACTCCACAAAATACATGAACAGAAGCTTTTTAAAATAAGAAGACAAATGGAAAACGAACATACAAAAAAAGCTCAATGTCACTGATCATCAGGAAAATGCAAACTAAAATTACAATGAGATCTCACCTTACTCCAGTTAGTACAACTTGTGTTATTTTTTTACCAGAAAATGTTCTTATCCCAGTGGCAATAGATTTGACCTGATAGTTGCTAAATATATTCTTTCTTTGTGGATATTTTTTAATATTTCCTTTTTTTTAGTATTTACTAGTTGTTGTCTTATAAGACACTCACTATTACAAACAATTTTAGTAGAATGATTAGGAACAAAAGAAGATATATAGCAATATATGAAACCTGTATTGATTAACATTATTTTTGATAAATTAGTAAATATTTTATGAAACATAAACACTACATGTACCATATAAATCTATCCAATTATTATGTACTCATAACATTTAAAAATAATACTTTCCCGTATCATATAAAAATGATATGGCTCAGTGCCTGTGGCTCAAGTGGTTAAGGTGCCAGCCACATACACCAGAGCTGGTGGGTTTAAACTCGGCTGGGGCCTGCCAAACAGTAATGACAACTACAACCCAAAAATAGCTGGGCATAGTGGCAGGTGCCTGTCATCCCAGCTACTTGTCCCAGCTACTTGGGAGGCTGAGGCAGGAGAATTACTTAAGCCCAGGAGTTGGAGGTTGCTGTGAGTTGTGATGCCGCAGCACTCTACCCATGGTAACAGCTTAAGGCTCCATCTTTAAAAAAAAAAAAAAAAGGAAGAAAGAAAAGAAATGAAAATGGCATATTTACTGTTGTTATTCTTTCTGTTACCTACATATTAAACCTTGTCATTTTTGCAAGAAGTACAGAGCTATTAATAGTGAAAGTGCCTTTAGAAAGATAAATGAAATATTTTCCTTTTCATCATTAACATCATTTATTTAGCATCTTTGAACACTGAATGGTAAATAAACACTAATTTTAGCTAAGGGAAAAAACGCAGGGCAAAGTGTTTAGTGATTCCTAATGAGATAAAAACATAATTTGATGCCACAACTGGAAACCGGATATGTTAAGACATCTTTCATTAATAAGTAGAGATAGTAATACTTAAAGCCATTCGTAGAAATCGGATCTTCATAATGTAGGGTTGATTCATGTAAGAAAACGCATGCCCTTCGTATGTATTTCTCTGAATGCATGCAGTAATTCATGATCCATTTTATAAGTGAACTTAAAACAAACATAGGAAGAAATCACCTGGTACTTAAAATATTTTGATGATTTCATTTTTGAGATACTCAATATTCTTGATCTTCCTTTGCTCTTTTTGGCTCATTTGACCTATATATAACTTTAAATAGCCCCTGGCTGACAGACAGGCTATCTCATCATATGGTAAATGGTAATACACTCCATTACACAGTAACTTTAAAATCATAGCCCCACTGAGAAGCTGCACTAAGAGTTTAACTACTCTCTTGGCAGATATCAGCCAATATCTAGATATATTAGCAAGGGAGACTTCACTGACCACAAAAATATCTGGGAGGATGTCAGATTCCTATTTCAATTCAGTATAAGAACCTCTGGAAGTTCAAATGTTTACTCTATTTTCATGGAATATGTACAGGAAACAAATTTTAACACTTTCATATCAAAATATGTCCCTAAGTCTGTCCTTGGTCAGTGTCTTAAAGACTTTTGATATTCCTATAATGAGGGAATTAAGACATTATTAAATATGAAAAATATTATTAAAAACATGTATTTTTATAATTTTACTGGTTTTATAAAATAAGGCATATGTAAAATAATGTGAAATTGGCAGAAGATAAAGATGATGATAACCTATATTGAAATATACAAAAAATATTTTGAATTTGACAAAGATTATCAAGGGTATGTTATTCTTTATTTAATGATTACCTTTAAATCAGAGTACAGTATCCAAATATGTAATTGTGTAGCAATGTGAAAATCATTAATAGTAAAATAGAGAATAAATACATGGTGTTTGTTCCTATCTCAGAGTTTGCAGTCATCAGAATATTGAAATAACACACTTCACATAGCTGATATACAAATATTTTCTATTATCCTCTTCAATTTTAATCCTGACATATTTTTAAGAATAGATTTTGGAAATAAAATGAGGTAATTAAGTGTGGGACTTTGAATTCCTTGAAAGAAAGCCATTATACATATACCCATAGAAGAGTGGCTTTATAAAGAAATTACTCTGGACTGAAACCAGTCACATATTCACTTAAACATCCTGATTGTAATGTAATTATTATCCTCGTGACATATTTTTGGTGTTATTAATATAAAAAAGGCATAAGAACTTTCTTGTAGGGCATAGAAATGATTTTTCAACATCTGACTTTAGGAATGTTTCATGTATGAAAATAGCAGAGAAAAAGGTAAGTTTTGTCCATTTTTGTATTTTCAGTTAAGAAAATACTGTAAAGTTGCCTTTCCTTCAAGCTGTGTGGCTGCCTAGTATTGCATCACATCATTTTCATGAATAAGATGGCCATTACCGCATGGTATGTTCTAAGGAGACCGTAAGTCAAAGCAAAATGTAATGAGAAGAGCCACTGAGAAGGAGCAAATGAAGATTGCTACTGTGTGTCCTTGTAAAGGACAAATCTCCTTTACTTACAGGGAAAGGGTATCACCAACATAGAAAAAGCTAAAAATCTGAATAAACACACACAAAAATGTATGTAACCCGTATTTCCAACTCTTGGTTGATCATTTATGCTAGTTGTTTACAATAAAGAAAGCTTTGAGCATCAAAGTTTATAATATTAATACCTGAATAAATCAAATAT